GTAAACATGCTCATCATGGTAGGACTATAAATTCTCAGCCAAGCATCACAGAAAATGGCCTTACATTTCTCACACCCAACACTGTAACATGAGCATACCCAGATATTCAAACCCACATATTCTCAGAAATTCATCACAGAAAGTGGCCACATAGTTCATAAAGGCAGCAGTAGTGTAAACGGAAGCATACCCAGGAATTCAAAGGCACACAAGCATACTCAGAAATTCAAGCACCCACCAAAAATGAGGAAAAGTCAAAGTAGGAAGCTATTTCCCAGACAGAGGAACATTTAATTGTGATTAATTGCAAGGAAAATTTAAAAATTTAAGGATGTGAAAGGAACTTCCCCACTTGTACTGTGAAGCCCGAAAATGTGGATCAGGACATGGGAGCAAGATGTTCAGGATATCGATGTGGAGATGCATGCGTGAGTTTATTGCCTGAGTAGGCTCAATCTCACTTTTTTCGCACCAATCAGCATCATCAATATCACCGTCTAGAACAATGAAGTTAGGCTCCTCCCTCCCAAGAATAAAAACAGTGTCTTCCTGAGATTCAAGAAGGACAGCGTCCTTCCTCTCTCTGACCGGGGCAACATCGGCCATATCGTCGTCGCTGGCGATGACGATGACCTCGTCCTCCACCTTGTCATAGATGAAATCCCCATCATCAATTCCAATATCCTCAAATTGTGTCTCCGGGATAATGGATTCGAAGCGCAAATCGTACGAATCCATTGCAGATCTAGGAGACGAAGCAGTTGAGTTTGGAGATAGAGAAAATGAAGAGTTCAGATCGGAAGATGTGAAGGGTTTGAGGAGGATATGGAGATTGTGATCGGATAAGATAGGGAGAGGGGAGGAGTGAATGAGGACGGTTGACGATACATTCAATGAGGGGGGAGGGGTGTAGTTAGGAATAATGGGTGAGATTTAATGAGAGGGGTATTTTTGGAAGAGAGGGTATGAAAACGTAGAGTAGGAAGATTTTTTTCGGACGGGAAAAAAGGTAGAGTAGGAAGATTATTCTTGGACGGAGGGAGTATGTTTTAATTCTTTTTAAGTAAATTACTCTATAAAGAAAAGGTTAATGTAAATAAACTCAATACTTCCATAGAGCAACTCCAATGCATCCTCTAAATTGACTAAAGTGTAAAAAATAAATGTTATAGCTTTTACTACTAATAAAATAGGACTCCAACCCATAAGTCATAAAATAGAAGTCATTCTATTTTTACTCCACCACCTTCTATATTTGAAAGATACTATGCTATCTTCTATTTTTTTTACTTCTCTTTTCACATGTGATCCTTGCCTCCTTTCCTCTCGTCTTCACCCTCTGTTCTTGCTGATCCATAGACCATGGATCTCATTCTTTGGTTTTCTTTCAATTAATGACTATTTAATACTCTATTTCTCTTCCTGACATGTATCCAATCTTTCTTTCCAACTCCAATACATTGAATTTGAGCTTGAAAAAAGTTTGAGATTCTGATTTTAGTTCACACAGTGTCATCGATATTTTTATTCATCAGAATCAGTTCCAATCGAAAAAGAAAAACCGATCTCCGAGAATCAGTGGTTTTTCTTATGAACAATTATGTTCTTAAATAGATATGTTTTACTTTTAAATCAATCCGTAGATCTATCTTTAAAAAATGATTTTGTTTTTTCAAAGGATATTGCTAATTTTCAATTAATGGGGTAGTTTAAAAATAATAATTTATTATATAAACTAAAATATAGATAATATGGTTGGAGTGAATGTAAAAAAAAATGTATTGCTAAAGCACTGTTGGAATGCTAAAAAGGCAAATAGAAGATAAAAAATAGCTCTCCCCTCGGAGATGCTCTAAGTTTCCATAATTATCACCGGTTTAAAAGGCGGATGCTTATTAGTTGGGTTACTGTATGATTGAAGGTTGTGCATGGGGCCGGGGTTTATACTGCGGACTTTAGGAGGACAAAATGGTGGATAGGTGTTGCAGAGTTGGCAACGCAAAGAGTATCAAGAAAGTAAGACTCGAGTTTGATTTGTGACAACTGCACTAGGAGACAACTATGTTAAGCATAGGGATCTGCAATTCAAATATTAAAATAATAATATTGCTCCATTGAATTATGAAGTACATGATAGAGTATATACAGAAAAGACTCCTAACACAACTAGGAATATAGAATGAAGACTAACTAAAATACAACATTTATCCTAAATAAGATTAGGAAGTTGACTAATAATCAAACACTATCATAACCAATACTACCAGAAGTAATATTAGTATTATTGTCTAAAATCCCTCTTAAGCTGAACTCTGAGCTGGCTGAAGCAAGAGGAAGCTTGGACACTAGCTGGAAACTGGAAACTTTGAGAAGAGAGAAGTCTGATGTGCGCCGCCGGTAGTTGTTGACATCGTTAGAAAAGAGAGAAGTCTGACGTGCGGTGGTGGCTGCTGATATCGTTAGAAAAGAGAGACGTCTGATATGCAACGGTGGCTAATCACGTCGTTGGAGAAGAGAGAAGTCTGACGTGCGCTGGTAGCTGCTGACGTCTTTGAAGAAGAGAGAAAGGGTTGACGTGCACTTGTAGCTGCTGACGTCAAGAAGAACAGACAAGGCTATTGGAGGTGACTGTTTGATTGAAGATTCTTGACATTCTTTGTTTTTTTTCTTGGTTCTGGAAATGCCCTATTTCCTTCTTGAAGGGGTGAATTGTAGATGTATTCTTTCCTCTTTCATTACTTCCCCTCTTGGATTTGCTTTTGTGCTGATTTACTTTGGATTTTTATTGGTTCCATAGAAGAGAAAAAGAAGATAGGTTGATGATTAGAATGAGTGATTTGAGAGAGAAAAAAGTGGGTTAAGAATTGGTAATGGAAAAAAAGAGTTAGGTCTGATATTTTAATATGGTGAATCGGAGAGAAACAACTATTGTTCTTTTTTCTTTTTTTGAGAAGATAGGATGATTAGTTGAGAGGGGATTTTTTTAAGGAGTTGCCAATCCAAAAAATTAAAGAAAGACATCGGTTCGAGGGTAAATGAGATTCAGGCTTAGCCGACAGTGGAGCAGTTGTGGACTTTGAGGGCATATTTCCCTACGGCAGTTTTTTGGAAGAACCATGGAGATGAAAAGAGGGAAGCTCCTCTGACATTTTTTTGTGTGATTTCAACTCGGGAATTTTTTTTCCTTTTTTTTGAATGGAGATGTTAATTTGAGGATAAAAGAAGGAAAAGAAAATAGAGATGAATAAGGTAGAGCCGCCGTCGCCGGAATTACCGGCGGCGGCAGTGGAAAAAGAGAACTCTTTTAGGCCACCAAGAGCGGTTGCTCCGATACAATGTTAAAATATTGCTCCATTGAATTATGAAGTACATGATAGAGTATATATAAAAAAAGACTTCTAACACAACTAGGAATAGAGAATGAAGACTTACTAAAATACAACATCTATCATAAATAAAAATAGGAAGTTGACTAATAATCAAACACTACCATAACCAATACTAGCAGAAGTAATATTAGTATTATTGTCTAACAAAAGTCTACTTTACTTCCTTTCCGTGACCGTCCAACTGAGTATGAGGGAGCCCTTGGAGATGAGACTCATACTTTTTTTTACAAAATAGTGGTGGATGTGAGTTTGGCTCTAGTTTTGTTGAGTTTAGACTCTAGTCCAAATTCAATTTTTTCAAAAAGAAATAAGGGCATTTTGGGACATGAAAAAAAAGAAATGGAAAGGAAATTTTGGGAGAGATTAAAGTGAGGAGTAATGAGTAATAAAGTTTGCAAATCATTGAGTTCTCAAGCATACAAACCATGTAGATGTCATATCCATAATCCATTAACATCCAAATCAAATTAAACTAACAATGTAGAAAAACAAATAACACCCATTGCCTCTCACCGCCGCGACCTCAAACATCAGCTCTAGGCTAAAGAAGTCCGTCATTTAACTCCATAACAGCCCGAATGTAAACAACAAAGCAACTAAAGACAACTGCCAAGAGAGTGAGAAACATCGGTTTAGTGTCCTCATACACGAGAGCACGAGACGTCCCTGAAACCAACAAAGAAGTAAACACGATATGCGCAATGCGTAGGTCAACAAGCCATGCCACGGCGAGGCAAAAGAGGCTAAGTGTTGTGTACATATTTGTCTTGTCACCATATAAGCTCATTGCAATTCCAGAAACAATTCCAATGAATGCCTCCAGGGGCAGGAGTTAATGGGGTCCTTCGTAGTATTAAATTAAACCCGCCAACCATGCAAAACACTTTGATGTAAGTAGGGGTGGGCACGGATAGGGACAGTCTGGGTTTTAGGTGGTCCCACGTCTTATCCCGTTATATATAAACGGTTCGGAACTATTCGGATTACAATCTTATCCCGGTTTGTCCCATAAAATTCGGGATCGGAACGGATTCGGGTCGTCCTACTTTGTCCTAATCGCAAATATAAGAAGGGCGAGAGGGTGACATTTCATTCAAAAAAAGAAACATCTAGATATCCAACAAAAAACAATTAGTGGAACATGTCCAAATAAATTTCAAGCCTATTAAGTTAACTTAATTAAATAACTAATTCATTCAAGAATGAGTGTATTTGGATTTTGGACTAGAATTAGTATTATATATTAGTAGAGTAGATGAAACGGGACGGAACGATATAAGTTTAAGTTGTCCCACTCATGTCCCATTTGATATTGGGACAGAACGGGTTCGGGATAAAAAATTGTGTCCCAATACATCGGTACAATTGCAAAACGGATCTGGGATTTTTTGGAACGGTCCAACGGGAACGGATTTCACGCCCACCCGTAGATGTAAGCGCCAAGGTGATAAAAATGCTCGCAAGAGGGGTAACAATGAAAAAAATTAGGACCGTAAGGGGCAACCCCATCCATCCAGCACCGACGAAACTCTTAACGCCCGTTATAAAAAAGTATGCCAAAAAAGAGCCAAATAGCGAGCCATGCCTGCGGCCGTAAGTGCGTCACACCTCTCTTGAACACGATGAAAACCATAAACCGCCCATAAGTGGCATCTCCCCCGTAGTCATTCACCTGATATATATATATAAGTTCCATTGGAACTTCATTAACATATTCAATTTTTTAAATACTCCCTTCCTTTTTTTGCTTTCTATTCGAACAAGTTTATTTACAACTTTTAAATTTTTCTGATTTACAACTTGGTATATCAACTTTTATATTCGAACAAGTGAGGAGTAATGAGTAATAAAGTTTACAAAACATTGAGTTCTCAAGCATACAAACCATGTAGATTTCATATCCATAATCCATCAACATCCAAATCAAATTAAACTAACAATGTAGAAAAACAAATAACACCCATCGCCTCTCACCGCCGCGGCCTCACACAATAGCTCTAACCTAATGAGGTCCGTCTTTTAACTCCATAACAGCCTGAATGTAAACAAAATAACAACTAAAGAAAAACGCCAAGAGAGTTAGAAACATCGGTTTAGTGTCCTCATACACGAGAGCACGAGACGTCCCCGAAACCAACAAAGAAGTAAACACGACCAAATCAAAGCGTGTGTGCGCAATGCGTAGGACAGCAAGCTATGACACAGCGAGGCAAAAGAGGGTAAGTGTTGTATACACATTAGTCATGTCGCCGTATATGTTCATTGCAATTCCAGAAACAATCCAATGAATGCCTCCAGGGGAAGGAGTTAATGGGGTCCTTCATAGTATTAAATTAAACCCGCCAACCATGCAAATTACTCTGATGTAAGTAGGGGTGGGCACGGATCGGGATGGTCCGAGTTTTAGGTTGTCCCACGTCTTGTCTCGTTATATATAAACGGTCTGGAACGGTTTGAATTACAATCTTATCCTGGTTTGTCCCATAAAATTTGGGATCAAAATAAACAGGGACGGACTCGGGTCATCCTACTTTTTCCTAATCGCAAATATAAGAAGGGGGAGAGGGTGACATTTCATTTAAAAAAAGAAACATCTAGACATCCAACAAAAAACAATGAGTGGAACATGTCCAAATAAATTTCAAGCCTATTAAGTTAACTTAATTAAATAACTG